AGGATTGTTGATTCTCTGTTTGGCTTAGTTTTTCGGATCTTTGTTGTGGAGGGACGGCGTGGTGCTTCTGCCTAGACCGCCATCTTGCCGGAGTCCACCATAGGGTTTTTAATGGCTGATTTTTCTGAAACAAATTGCCAGGTCTTTCTTCCAAGGTGCCTCTGGGTAGACTCAAGCATCCAGTCTTTTGGGTAGCAGCCGAGCACATTAACCATTTGCACCACCCAGAGATTCTAATGTAATCACAAGAGTCCTTAAATGTGGAAGAAGGAGGCAGAAGAGGAGGTCACAGGGATGCCATGTCAGAAGAACTCAACCCACCACTGCTAGCTTTGAAGACGAAAGGGGGCCACAAGCCAAGGAATGTTAGCAGCCCATAGAAGCTAGAAAAAGGAAGGAATTGGACTCTCCATTAGAGCTTCCAGAAAGGAATGTAGTCCTGCTGACACATTGATTTTCTCCTGGGAGACCCATTTCCAACTTCTGACCACCAGACTCTCTAGATAATAAATCTGTGCTGTTTTAAGCCACTCAATTTGAGGCAATTTGTTACAGCAGTCAAAGTAATCTAAAACACAGTCCCTGGACAAACATTCTCACAGATGCAAGAGATGGTAGATTCCAAGTAGTTCAATATTATAAAACATAATCCCTGTGGATATCCTTGCCATATTTTTTTCTGCATCAAAATAGTCTAATAAGGGTTTGTTACTAACTGATGAATATATTTCTACAAAAAGACTATCTTAAAGTTATAAAAATGAAAAATTTTTATGAACGAGAATATCATTGATTCAAGTGGGATTCTCCTAGATACATGAGACATGTCCTCTTTGAGATCCAGGAAAGGACTGAGAACATCCTCTATCATGTTTACTGGGTACAACATTTCTTTTAAAGTCCTGGTAATCAGTAGTGTTAAATAAAATGGGTTTAAACAGGGTTAGGTGCCTTATTATTATCTGAGGACTAAGCAGTATCTGTGAGTTACTGGTCAGGGCGAGGCAGGGAGAAAAAAGAGAATGCAGAAGGAAAGACAAGAAAAAAAGAAAACTCTATTAGGCAGAGAGACGTCTGTTAGGGGAGATTCAAGGTGGCTGCTAGTGCTCACGGTCCATTACATGAATTAGACAGGGTGCCCTTCCTCAGGCAGATGCAGCCTCTCTCCAGGACAAATGGCTTGGTGAACAGAGCATGGGCTGCATTTTAGCCCCACTTGTCCACTCCTCAGAGCACCCTTGTGCAGTGAACAATCTGCCCAACGCTACACAGAGGCCCTGGGAGACACAGGGTCTCTGATACAGAGAAAAGTACTTTATTAGTTTCAGATAGCTGCTGTAACAAACTATCACAAACTTAATGGCTTAAAAGAACACATATTTATTATCTCATAGTTCTGGAGGTCAGAAGTCCAAAATGGGTGGGTTAAAACCCATGTGTCAACAGAGGTGCATTCCTTTCTGGAGGATGTAAGGGAGAATTCTTTTCCGTGTTATTTCCAGTGTTTAGAGACTACCCACAGTACTTGGCTCATGGCCCTATTCTTCCATCTTCAAAGCCAGCAACGTTGGGCTGAGTCCTTGTCACTCTACCATCTCTCTGGTTTTGCCTTTCGACTCCCTCTTTCACTTTTAAGGACCCTTGTGATTACACTGGGCCCACTCAAATAACGTATTTTATTATTTTTTTTATTTTAAAGTCACCTGATTACCAACCTTAATTCCATCTGCAACCTTAATTTCCCTTTGCCTTGTAATTTAACATTTTCACAGATCCTGAAGATTAGCACATCTTTGGGGAGCCGTTATTCTGCCTATGATAGGCACTTAGGTTAAAAATAGGCAAAAAGAAATAAATCCTTCACCAAAAAATAAATGGCCAGCCCCCAAAAGTTGCCAGGAGGGCCACAGAAAACTGGGCTATCTTAAGTTAAAGTACTCAACAAATATTGAATCTTACCTTGGTGGACAAGTCCTTGGGTGACAAGCATGCTTACAAGAGAAAAAGGCAGAGCTGTAAAACAAAAATGCCCTTCAATATTGATATTTTAAAAGTTGGCATTTCACCTAGAAGTCACGGAGAATTACTCTGAGCTTTTTCTCTTTCCTACCTCAGCAATGAGATTTTATTCCTTTGCTATTTTAATTATTCAGCACTATCCTAAACATGGGAGTTTTCTTGGAATCTGCCCAAGGAACTCAGCCCAACACACAGTTATTGACCTAACAAAACCTCAACTCCATGCTACTCTATCTCTACCATTTCCTGTCGAGTTAACTCTGACTCACGGTGACCATATGTGTGTCAGAGTGGAACTGTGCTCCATAGAGTTTTCAATGGCTGATTTTTTTAGAAGTAGATTGCCAGGCCTTTTTTCTGAGGTGATTTTGGATGGACCTGAATCTCCAACCTTTCGGTTAGCAGTTGAGCATGTTAACCATTTGCACCACTCAGGGACTCCACTCCATCTCCATCCTCCACATTACTGAATGCCCAACGTGCACCAGATTTTGATCACGACATGCAACACAAGCATCTTCATGTGTACATACACTTAGCTGTTGAATTTGGGAATTTTCATTAGCTATATATTTTCAAATTTTCAATTCTACATAAAAGTTAAAAAACAGTACAATAAACTCCTGCATACTTTCCTCTAGATTCCTTAATTACAAACATTTTGCCAAATTTGCTTTCTCTCTTTCTGTTTTTTCATTTTTTTTCCCCTGAGCCAGTTGAAATTCGCAAACATCTTCACCACGAAATACTTTAGCAGGTATCCTCTAAGAACAAGAGCATTCCCCTGCATAACCAGTGTCATTAGCATATTCAAGAAAAATAATATTGATGATGTTCACTAATACACAATCCATATACAAATCTCCCCAATTGGCCCGATAATGTACATCATAGCTGTGGGGTTTTTTCAATCCAGGATCATGCATTACACGTCATTATCATGTCTTTCTAATCTGCTTTAATCTAGGGCAGTTTCTTGCCTTTTTTTTGATCTTTCATAACATCTTGTCCCACAATTTGGATTTGCCTGTTTTTTAAAGACTACAAAACGATAATATTTATGTTAAACATGAGTGACATTTACCTGTGATTTTTAAAACAGGCAATTTAGTCTGGCAAAAAGAAGTTTCTAGTTCTGTCAGAACGTGTTAAATGACCTCTTCCAAAACCAGAGAGCAGTGATAAACATCTAGCTCTTCCTAGCGACCAAGACAAATCAAATAGCAACTGATTTTTCCATTCCACTGCCTGATGGTAGGTAAATGGATCATACTAAAGTGTTAATCTACTAGCGTCCAATTAAATCACTCACTCATAGTTTGTCAGAAAAGACATGAATTTCTAGAAGCACAATCAGTAATCATAATAATGCATAATGAATGTCAACTTTTAGAGAGTGTTACTTCCAGAATAGTTGAAACTGAATTTGAATGATTTAAGAAATCAAAATGAGTATTTCTCGGTACAAATTATCCCTGTATCAGCAATGTTGCAAAATATTAGAGGTGTATCTATAGGCTCTATTATGACATTTTCAAGTGATGACTCATGAATTTTTAAAATTGGAAGTGACCTTAGCACACAGCCTGAGTTCACACCCTGGTCTTATGTAAGGAAGGCCCAGAAAGAAGCAGCAACTCAGCAGACAAGGTTATTTCAAAGACAATGTAAGAGCAGTATTAACAAACTGCTGCCACTTATAATTCACTCAACAAAAATTTATTAAGTATTTGCTATGTATTAGGCACTGTGCTATGCTCTGGGATGAAGCAGTGAACTTGGCATTGCTCCTGAACTCTATAAAGCTTAGAGTCTAGTGTAATTTAGGAAGGTCTGCTCTTCCGGAGTCAAGAAATTCTAAACAGTGCTCTTGTTCTACTTTCTTGGTCACATCAAGGAAAGTGTTAAGTGTGCATTACTTTTTGGAAAGTGAGGTGAAGTTCTCGTTAATCAATTATTACCTCTGTCCTAAAGAGTCTCACCGTGGAATTAAACTCTAAACAGCCCCAAGTATCCAAGTTCATGAGGGATTTATGCAAAGTGCCAGCTCAAAAATAAATCATTACCATAATTCTAACATGACACTCAGGGAGTTTATTGCAGCAAATACGTTGTTAGTTGCCATCAAGTAGATTCCAACTCATGGCGATCCCATGTGTGTTAGAGTAGAACTGTACTCCACAGGGTTTTCAAGGCTGTGACCTTTGGGAAGCAGCCTGCCAGGCCTGTCTTCTGAGGCACCTCTGGGTGGGTTCAAACCTTTTGGCTAGTAGTCAAATGCTTAACCATTTGTGTCACCCAAGGACTCTGGAGCAAATATAGTGTTAACGAAGACTAAGAGGGGTGTTATTACCTCTCTTCCAGAAACTTTCTTCTTGACATTCTCGGATAATCTTTGCAATCTCTCCTCTGTGGATGTGGAGTTTTGATTTTGGACAAAATAACAGGCTCTGTAAGGAAAACTATGTAGTGAGTTAACTGAAATCATCAGAAAAACATCTGCTTTGTTTTCTCTGGAGGATAGAGAGGTCTCTTCACTCGTTACACAGCATCAATTTGTGCTGGCTACCAGTACAAAACAATCACCAGTTTCACAGCGAGCGTCCCATCTGGGAATGCTAGATGGACTTAGGCAAAGAAAGAATCCCAACTGGAGAATCAGAATGATTCACTGACAGAGCATGGAGCACCTATCTGGTCAGGCTGAATCACTGCCGAGGACACATTTTCTTTCTTACTGCCATGCGCACAGGGCAGATTATCCTATAAGCAAGGTAAGCATTGGCTTACTTGTGCTTACTTACTAATCTGGTAGTGAACAATAAGCAAGATTAGTAAGTAAGCACAAATAAGCCCATGCTTACCTTCCTTACTGGGTCATCTACCCTGTCACGGATTGTAACTCTGAAAAGAGGCTTTCATTCTCTAGAAAGGTGTTGTGGGGTTGGGAGAGAGACAGATGCCGGCCATACCTAGAAGCAAAATCTTTGATGTGGCGAAAAAATGTGAAATCGTTCACTACAGATTAATAAGTAAGCACAAGTAAGTCCATGCTTATCTTGCTTACTGGATAATCTGCCCCTGGCTATGCCTCTGTCCATAGTCACTCACTGTACCTGGCATGCTCCTCACACCCTTTGCTTTGCTCACCTGGTTCCCTTAAGACCTAGCACAAATGTTGCTGTCTGGGTGGAGAGAGGGATGTTATTTCCTTTACAGCACAATATTTATACACCTGGGATAGCACTCAGAGCACTGTATTACAGTTTATCTATTTATACATACTTCTGTATGCATTTTTAAACTGTGAACTCATCAATAAACTGCTTTTTATTATTCTACACAGTTTACTTTCAACCTTGACAGTATTTTGCAGGTTTATAAGTGGTCTGCACTTCATTTCTGGTGCAACTACTGACATAACCCATTGCTGTTGAGTCAATTCCAACTCACGGCAACCCCATGTGTTACAGAGTAGAACTGAGCTCCAGAGTTTTCTTGTCTGTAATCTTTACAGAAGCAGATTGCCAGGCCTTCTTCCACAGTGCCACTGAATGTGTCTGAACCACCAACCTTTTGGTTAGCAGTTGAGTGCAAACTGTTTGTGCCACGCAGGGACCTATACTATTGACATAGTTGACGTAATTATTTTTAATAATTATATAGTATTTCTTATGTTGATGTGCTATAATCTAAACTAACTCCCATTTTTCAGGATCCCTCCCCGTTTGTATGTATGTAGGTACTTATTCACTCACTCTGATCCACGTTCCCCACTTTGATTCCCCTCTGCCCATCACCACCATTTGTGTGTTTAATGTGTGTCTTTTATTTGTAGGCATTCTTGCAAAGTATTCATTGTTTTGGGTAAGTGCATTTTTTAAAAAATGTAAATGGCGTGGCTTTTGGTATCTTTTTAAAAACTTAATGTTTTCAACTCAGCTGTTTTTAAGACCCATTCGTGTTGCGCTCTCTCTCTCTCTCTCTCTATATATATATATATATATATCACCCACTGCTTTTCACTGCTGCATAATTCTCTAGCTAGACTGCTCTCCTCAATGGCTGCACCAGTCTCCACTCCCATAAGCAGTGCCTGAACCAGTTCCCCTATGACTATACAGCCTACATGGTTAAGCTGGATTCCAAAAAGAGTTAAAGTAAAGAAAGGATTTTATGACACAGGGCATTATCCAGTTTTCTAAATGGATAAATGTTGATAGTCTAACAGGTATAACCACTGCCTGTCTGTCAGTTTGTCATACTGTGTTGGCTTGCATGTTGCTATGATGCTGGAACTTATGCCACCAGTATTTCAAACTCCAGAAGGGTCACCCATGGTGACAGGTTTCAGCTGAGCTTCCAGACTAAGACAGTCTAGGACAAAAGGTGATCTATTTCTGAAAATCAGCCAACAGAAACCCTATGGATCACAACAGAATATTGTCTAATATAGTGCTGCAAGATGAGCCCCTTAGGTTTGAAGGCAGTCAAAATATACAGAGGCCACAATAATAGACTCAAACATGCCAACAATTGTGAACACGGCACAGGCACAGAGCCAGGCAACATTTCGTTCTGTTGTATGTGGGGTCACCATGAGTCAGAGCTGACTTGTCAGCAACTAACAACAAAAACAATAAGTATAAAACAATATTTCATTGTTTGATTTGCATTTCTCTGATAATGAACATGTTTCAGCATCTCTTCATATTCTTGCTAGCTTTGTAGGGTTATCTTTTTTATCTGGTGCCTCTCACTATTTAGAGTAACCCTACTTGTCACTTAATGCTTTTTGCTGTTAAGTAATGTTATGGATATTAGACAATTTTCCAAGTATCTGAGCTTATGCCATTGTGGCTCTCTTTTTCAGCCAGATAGCCCTTGTCCTTCAGTACTGAGACAATCCTTGCAACTGGACCTGGGTTGGAATAATTTGTTATATTCGGCCTATTAGTTTTTTAAAAACAAATTTTACTTATTTCTTACTGTAGAAGTCATACCTGAATATCATTGTGTGTGGATTATTTATGTATCTTCTCTGCCGTTTATCTACTGGGGGTTATTGCTTTTGTTGTTGAGGTGTTTTGCAGCTCTTTGGCTTTTGAAGTTTACCTTGCTGGTTTTGCCACTGTTCTTTTTTAGATACTTTTATTGTTTGTGTTGTTGCTGTTAGGTGCTGTCAAACTGATTCCCACTGACAGCGATCCCATGTGACAGTGCAGAACTGCCCCCTAGGGTTTTCTTGGCTATAATCTTTATGGAAGCAGGTCTCCCGGTCTTTTTTCCGCGGAGCTGCTGGGTGGGTTCGAACCACCAACCTTTCTGTTAGCAGCTGAGTGCTTAAATGTTGTGCCACCAGGGCTCCTTTTATTGTTTGTAATAGTTTCCAATGTGGATGACATTTCTTGAGCACTTTCCCACAGGCCAGACACTGTCCCGAACACTTTACATGCATGCTGCCATATTAACAAGGTGGAGAGACCTTGTGACTAATGCCTTTGCAGGTCTACAAACAACCCAAGCTGGCAACCTCCCTCCTCTTTATCTACAACTCCCCACAGCCCAGAATAAGGAGGTGGTAGAAACGATGTCTCAGCAATGAAGGACTTACCTTAGTTCCGCAGCACAACCCCCCAACAGCAAGTACTCCAGCTTATGCCCAACATAAATATCTGTTCTTGCTTCTGGCTGTGGCTGCCGCAGAAGCAAGGAACACCTCCTTTCCTCCTCCAATCCCTCCCACCTCTTCACCACCACACATACACACACACACGCATGTGCGCGCAAATACACGCACACACACAAAGGATCACAATTACTGTGAGTCTTGCAGTCAGGATTAAATGTTCCTGAGAGTCGCCCAGCAGAGCACTGGGGATCCTTTTCTGTAATAGCCATCAATATTTTATGGCTCTCCATTTCACAGAGGCAACTCAGATGTCCAAACTCTTCTCCTTGTGACTTGATATCATTTGCCTGTTTGCCTTTCTTAAACTTTGCCCCGTAAATATCACCTTCTCCATAAACTCTTTTTTTTTTTTTTTAAGGCAAGCAAGACAAGTAAATTTTATTTTGTTCTTTCCTTTGCTTGTTATTAAGCTATTGTCTCTTAGCTTCAAGTCCACTCTTTATTTCACTTTTTGTGATTGTGGGGCTAGAACTCTTTGCCAGCTAGATCTCTGTCAGGCTCTTCCAACAGGGGCTACTTAGAGAGAGATCAGAAGGCTAGAGGAGGGATGTGCTCCCTTCTGTTCTCGCCTTCTTTCCTGTTCCTCTCAGCATCACCCAATACTGCTTCATTCCGGCAGCAGGTTGATCCAATAGCTCAGGTGATTCCAGTTTGGTTTTTTCCCAACACACAGAACCAACATCATTGTCTCCCTTCAGAAACCCCAGCACCAGCCAGCTGGTCCCCCCACACCCCCTAGGTCTGGGTCCCAGCTCCATGGGACCCCTATGCGGCATTCCTGAGGCACCAATATAGCTCAGCAGCACCTCTCCTTCAGTCTGAGTCCTAGCTCTGTGACCCCTCCTCCAAGCTTCTGAATTCTAATCATCCCAACTTCTTCCTTGTATTCCCCAAACCCTAGGGAGGCTCTGTGAAACCTTAGTGTTTCCTTTTGCCTCTTCCATGTTCCAATGCCTGGCTGACAAACATGTATGTTAAAATCTCCCTGTTAAAACTGGTGAGGCTTTTGTCTCCTAACTGGACTCTGAATAACACACTTCCCTACCAATATGGCTGTCTTTGAGTGCCCAATGAGATTTCTGTCTTACATCAGGACACTATTAACTTTACTGCATGTGAAACATATCATTACATATTATTTATATGTTGTATTCAGATGTTTTAAAACACAGTTAAAGAAAAATTGGCACGGTTGGTCTCTCATAATTGCAAAAGTTAGTTCAAGGTGACTTTGAAAGGGTAAATAAAGGACAAACAAAAGATTTTTCTCCCAACAAATTTTCCAGAGCTCCAAAGCACCAGAATTCTTATGGTATGCTTTGGAAAAATTTTCATTCCTGTGGAATAATCATGGTTAGTTTTTTATCCAGGCTGGGCAAGTATTAATGTCAAACAATGGATGCTATCAAATGAAATGTCACTTGTACCCAGGTACTTATATTTCTTTACCTCTTTTTTAAAAAATTTTTTTATTGTACTTTAGATAAAGCTTTACAGAACAAACTAGTTTCTCATTAAACAGTTAGTACACATACTGTTTTATGATATTGGTTAACAACCCCACGACATGTCAACACTCTCCCTTCTTGACCTTGGTTTCCCTATTAACAGCTTTCTTGTCTCCTGCCTTCTAGTCCTTGCCCCTGGGCTATTGCGCCCATTAGTCTCATTCCATAAACTGTTTTTACCTTGAAAAGTTGACCCCAGAGAACATGAACTCCATTTACCTATCACAATACTTTCTCTTTTCTTCATTTATATGTCCCAGAAACACATAATATTCATTCTTAACAAGTTGAAAAATTGTGCCCATGTTAATATTTGGATTCTTAATCTGATGGCTAATTTAGTAATTAAGAACCCGCTGTCCTGGTTAGGAACACCGGCCAGCACCATATGCTTAGTATGATTAGCCTTGGTAACAAAAATGTAAAAACAAGCATAATGCATCATTCTGTTAGGTTCAACTAAGAATTTGCTCTGCTAAAGGAAACCTCTTCAGTCACCAACAGCCTACATAAGAGCCAGTTAAGCTAGATTCTAAACATAGAAGAGTAAAGGAAGGATTTTGTAAATAAATTTTAAAAGGCTCCTTTTCAAGGCAGCCAAACACTTTCCTTCCGTATTCCATTCTTCCTGAACCCATCCGACAGGTGCCAGACTGAAAAACAAACCAAAAAACGAACATGACTAGGCTAGGCTGAGTTTTAACTAAAGTCCTGTGTGCTACTCCTCTGCACATGGCAGATCCCCAAGTTAAAAATATACCTTCTTGTTTGACGGTGGCAAATGGGGATCTTTATCTTGGTTTCCATGAGTAGATACTGAAGCCATGATGACCTTGGCCTTGCTTTTCTTCTAGTTGAGCGTACTCTGCTTACTCCTTGACCCAGTGTCTAAGGGAAGTAAAAGAGAATCACTACTGTGAATGAATGCTTGTATCAACCCTAAAAACATCCTTAGTACCAACTGCACCTATTTGGAAAACTTACATTTTGTCATAGATCTTAATCTGCAACCATCTGCAAACTCAATTTCTAATCCTCCTCGCCCACCAACACACATAAGTTATCTCACTAACAGCAACAAGGCAAATCTAGAGTAGAGGGCAACGTCACTGTGAACAATGAAATGTTTTACTACCTATAAATTGTGTTCCTAAAAAATGTTTCAATTCATTAAAGGTCATTAATGAATTGATCTTTTTACAGACTGTCTATTAAACCAGGGGATTAAGATAAAATCACTGCCTTAAAGGAACTCACAATCTAAAGAGAAAGACAGGTAAGTCAACAGTTATACAACATGAAAAAGGGCTCCCCTAGAGATGATGATGTTTCAACAAACAATGTTTCAATTGACTAGAAGAGATCCATATATGTAACTATTCCAAAAAAAGGTGATCCAACAGAATGCAGAAACTATCGAACAATATCATTAATATCACATGCAAGTAAAAGTTTTCTGATGATAATTCAAAAATGGTTGCAGCAGTCCATTGACAGGGAACTGCCAGAAATTCAAGCCAGATGCAGACCAGGATGTGGAACTGGGGATATCATTGCTGATGTCAGATGGATCTTTGCTGAAAGCAGACAATACCAGAAAGATGTTTATCTGTGTTTTATTGACCATGCAAAGGCATTCAACTGTGTGGATCATAACAAATTATGGATAACATGAAGAATGGGAATTCCAGAACACTTAATTGTGCTCATGAGGAAACTGTACATAGACCAAGAGGCAGTCATTCAAACAGAACAAGGGGATACTGCTTGGTTTAAAATCAGAAAGGTGTGCATCAGGGTTGTATCCTTTCACCGTACTTATTCAACCTGTATGCTGAGCAAATAATTCAAGAAGCTGGACTATATGAAGAAGAAAGAGCATCAGGATCAGAGGAAGACTCATTAACAACTTGCAATATGCACATGATACAACCTTGCTTGCTGAAACTGAAGAGGACTTGAAACACTTACTGATGAAAATCAAAGACTACAGCCTTCAGTATGGATTACACCTCAACATAAAGAAAACAAAAATCCTCACAACTGGACCAATAAGCAATATCATGATAAACAGAGAAAATACTGAAGTTGTCAAAGATTTCATTTTACTTGGATCCACAATCAATGCCCAGGAAAACAGCAGTCGAGAAATCAGACAATGCATTCCCTTGGGCAAATCTGCTGCAAAAGACCTCTTTAAAGTGTTAAACAGTAAGGACTAAGGTGTGCCTGACCCAAGCCATGGTGTTTTCAATCACCTCATCTGCATGCGAAGCTGGACAATGAATAAAGAAGACCAAAGAAGAATTGACGCCTTTGAATTATAGTGCTGGCGAAGAATACTGAATATAACATTGACTGTCAGAAGAACGAACAAATCTGTCTTGGAAGAAGTACAGCCAGAATGTTTCTTAGAAACGAGGATGGCGAGGCTTCATCACACGTACTTTAGACATGTCATCAAGAGGGACCAGTCCCTAGAGAAGCACATCTTGCTTGGTAAAGTAGAGGGTCAGTGAAAATGAGGAAGACCCTCAATGAGATGGATTGACACAGTGGCTACAACAATGGGCTCATACATAGCAATGATTGTGAGGATGGCACAGGACCAGGCAGTATTTCGTTCTATTGTACAGAGGATCACCATGAGTCAGAATCGACTCGACGGCACCTAACAACAACAGAAGTGAGTACTGTGCTAGGTTGCTAACTGCAAGGTTAGAGGTTTGAGTCTACCGAGGGGCACGCTGGAAGAAAGGTCTGGCAATTTACTTCGGACAAATTAGTGACTGAAAATCCCAGAGAGCACAGTTCTACTCTCACACGGGGTCGCCATGAATCGGAGTCAACCTGGCTTGGAGTTGAGTACAAGGTGCTAAAGAAGGAGAAAGGATGAATGCCTCTTCTGTCTGGTCAGATCTGAAGACATCAAAGACACTCCTGAGTTTTCAAAAGGATTCATAGAGGGTGGATGGACTCCAGGACAGAAGCAGTTACTAAACTGCCAGGCGTATGATCCAAATTTCACTTTTAGATACCTAATGTTATTGTACAGGCAGCATACTGCCCTGCAGTGGAAAGCCCTGGGGTCAGAAAAACCTGAGTTCCAATGCTGCCTCTACTCCTTGGGAGCCCAGTGATACGGGGGCAAGGGATGAAATGTTTCTGTGCCTCAGTGTTCTCTGAAGGCACCTTGGGAGGCATCTCTAGGGGAGCCCTTTTCATGTTGTGTAACTGTTGACTTATCTTTCTCTTTAGATTGTGAGTCCCTTTAAGGCAGTGACTTTGTCTTATTTTTCTTTGTATCCCCTGGTCTGGCACATAATAGACATTTGGTAAATTTGTGTGTGTGTGTAGTTAATGGCCTTGTAGGAGCCGTGGTGGCGTAGTGGTTAAGAGGTCGGCTGCTAACCAAAAGGCTGGTAGTTGGAATCCACCAGCCTCTCCTTGGAAATCCTAGGGGGCAGTTCTACTCTGTCCTACAGGTCGTTATGAGTTGGAATCGACTCCAGGGCAATGGGTTTTTTGGTTTTTAATGACCTTATAATGAACTGAAACCTTTTTTTTAGCAACTTTGAGGTGTTGTGAGGATAAGGGATGAGATCCCTAAAGCCCCAGCTCAGCGTTTGGCTCACAGTGCCCGCGTGAGCAGTAAAAGTCAGCTGTCAGAGTGGTCCTGGACGCTTTATTTTCCAAGGACTGCCAGGAAATCTTCGCTGACCTCAGGGTGCTGACCTAAGGCCGAGTTAGATTATCTTTGCTTATTCAGACCTTAAGCAGTTGGTTGTCTCAGACCGGGAAGCAAGGATACCACAACATCTCAGCTGTGGGGATCGGGTCCCCTAACACCCTTCTGAGGGCCCTGCCTGTTCCAGGTGCACCTCTCCCCCCGCAAACTACGTCTGGGGTTCCTCTGCGTCTCTGACAGGTGGGCAGTGGGGAAGGAGGAGCGCGACACCACGGGGAAGATGCGTGGTGGCATAGGGGCTCGGGGTTGGCTGGGCAGGAGGACGGGGTCATGCAGTTTCTGATCGGCGGGAAAGCCTGCGGAAATCTGCCGCTGTCTTCGGCCAGGGGCGCCAGCAGAACCCCAAGCCCCCAACCTCCGCCCCGGGGCCGCAGCGGTAGATCGCGGCCGGGGCCGAGTCGGGAGTCGGGCGGGGGAGGGGTTGGAAGGGGCGACTCCAGGCGGCCACTCCGGCCCACGCGGCCTTCGGAAGGGCCACCCTGCCCGTGTCCCCCTCCCTGAGGACCCCGGAAGTGAAGCGGGCAGAGGAAGCCACCTCCTTCTCGCCATACACCCCCGCGTGTCATCCCCCCGGCGCGGTGCCGCGGGGCTCACCTGCGGAGTGCCGCTCGCTTCCGAGTCGCGTCTCCGCCGACCCGAGCTCGCCCGCTTCCCGCAGCCGCCGCAGCTGGACCTTCTCCCCGCCTCCCTGGGCTTCCGCCCCCGCCCCACGCGGCCGGCCGGAGTCGAAACCCCCTCTCCCCGGCTTCCTCCGCCTCCACCTAACTTCGCTCGGCTTCCTGTCCTTCCTATTCCTTTCTTCTCTCGCTCTGACCCCTCACCTCACCGCGTAGCACTCACTCGCCTAAGTCGCTTAACAAGTGCACCTCCCTTTTCTGCCTTGTAGGTCCTTTCTCTGTGGGTGGCCTCATCCCCCACGCCCAATGCTTAGGCTGAAATCAGGGCTTCCAACGGGTTGGAACTGGCGAAACCGAAACAGATTCAAATTTTTTTAATTTGGGTGATCAGGAACCAGAACCAGAACGCGAAAAATACCAGTAGAAGCCCTGGAATGGAAGACTTGGAAGAGGGTCCTAAGCCCTTTCAGGAGCCTAATGAGTGAGATAGGATTATTGGCAGGAGTGAGGAGAGCCACACATTCAAAGCAGCGAGGTTCGCCTCCATTTTCTAGAAGGGCACCTCTGTTTCCCACTGTGCTCAAAATCCAAGGGGCAAGATATTTGCTTGCTATGCAAGGCATACACTGCCCTTGTTTTCTAAGAGGGAGGTTAAGTTTCCAGCAGGGCTTCAGACCCGTAATTTTTCCGCTCCGGTTACCGTTAGGTTCACCCAAATTCTAAAAAATTTGGTTCTGTTCCAGTTTCGCTTCCTCGGCTATGACGAACCGGGAAGAACCGGTTGGAAGCTCTGGCTGAAACCCAGCTCATGCTGGAACCTTCCTTCCCCACCCCTAGCCTGGTCCTGCCACTTTGCAGATTCTATCTCCTTAATGTCTTTCAAATGAGTCCCTTCCTCCCGATAACACACCAATAAGCATTTATTGAACACCCTTCCTGGGTCTAGTTTTTACACTCACTTATTTGCAATCCTTTTTACAACCCTTTAGGGCAAATACTATTATCCTCATTTTATAGCGAGGTCAACTGGGTTGCTCACAGCCACGTGGGGAGATTGGAGTCAACAAACCGGAAGGCAGCTTGGCTCGAAAGCCTTTCTATTGCTCTTGATCCATCTCTTCCCACATCCTATCACAGTAGAGTAAGCTACTGGGTGCCTTTAATACCTATATCATTCACCCCAACGTTAGCTGAGAATCCTTCCTGGGAGGAGCTGCTGGGACTCAAGGAATGTCCAGTTGGAAGAGGTTGTGGACCTTGGTTGAAGGACCTCATCATTTCTCATCGGTTTCTACTGCACAGGGTCCTAATTGGTCTTTATGCCTCTAGCCTCACCCCTCCACACTGCTCACTCTCTTCATCAGGCCCTCTTCCCATCCACATTGGCCTCCTTTCTGTTCCTCATATACACCCAGATCTTTCCCACCTGTGGCTGACACAGAGCCTTCCTTCTGCCTGGAATTCTCACATCAGTCTTCTTCCAGCTTTTTCCTACTCATCTTCTTCTTCTTCTTTTTAATCTTATTATCTTTTTAAAATTGTGCTTTAGATGAAGGTTTACAGAGCAAATTAGTTCCTCATTAAAGAATTAATACACATACTGTTTTGTGACATTGGTTGCCAATTATGCAACATGTCAACGCTCTCCCCTTCTTGACCTTGTGTTCCCCATTTCCATTCGTCTGGCTTTCCTGCCCCCTCTGCCACCTTCTCATCCTTGCCCCGGGCTGGTGTGCCCATTTAGTCTCCGATATGTGGTTGAGCTACATGTATTATTGTTTTTTGTTTTTTTTTTTTAATGGCCCTGTCTAACCTTTGGCTGAAGGGTGAACCTCAGGAGTGACTTCAGTACTGAGTTAAAAGGGTGTCCAGGGCCATACTCTCCATGTTTGTCCAGTTTTTTTCTTTCTTTCTTTTTTTTTTTAATTAATGTTTTGGTGAAAATATACATGACAAAATATGTACCACTTCAACAATTTCTACATGTACAATTCATTGACATTTGTTACATTCTTCAAGTTGTGCTATTTTTATTGACAATCTTTTCCAAACTATTTCACTGTCATTAACACAAACTCACGGCCCTCTCCTAAGCTTCTCATCTATCCTTTCTAGTTGCTGTTGTCTGTAAGATCACATATAGATAATTCTTTAAAGGAGCATAATGCTTAATAAAGACATTCTTTTCTAATTAGGCTAAACTATTATTTGGTTCAAAGATGACTTCAGGGGATACTTTTGGTTCAAGGTTTAAAGATTTCCTCAGGGTAATAGTTTGTGGGGGGGTCATCAAGCCTCAGTGGTTCCAGTAAGTCTGGATAACATGAGAATTTGAAACTCTGATCCTCATTTTCCCCCATTTTAATCAGAATTCTTCTATAGAATCCTTCATCTAAATGTTCAGTATTGGTAGCCTAGCACCATCCAGTTTTCCTGGTCACATGGCAAAGGAGGCAGCTGTTCATGGAGGCAGTTGGACTTTCCTACTCATCTTCATCTGATTTTTCCTCAGGAAGACCTTCCTTGACCTCCACCTTCCCTTCTCTTTCGTAGCACTTATCATCATTTGTTATTATATACTTATTGCTGTGTCTATTTTTTTAAAGCCTGTTTCCCTGCTTCACTGCAATCTTCATGAGGTACATAACAAAGTAGCACCTGTTTTGGTTACCATTGTGTGTGGATATAGTAAGTTCTCAATAAATATTTATTGAATGAATGAATGAAAGAATACATGAATTAATAAATTCATGTTGAAAGACTTCTAAGATACTGCTGTTATGGGGGATTTGTGTTCCCCAGTAGATCCCCCAGGCCACTTTCCTCCATGTGATTCACTGGTTTCTTTCTCCCCCAACGTGTTTTCTTGTTACCCCCTTTTGCTCCTCTAAATTAAAGGGGATACAGTCCTATTGTTAATTTTACATTGTACTACCAGAAGTCAGAAATAACACTCTGTAATTTTGTGGTCTGAAAAGATAGTTTTGTATTTGGTTTTGTGATATAAATGAATGGCTCTCCATTACACTAGAAGTCTAACTTCTAACAAATACCCTTGACATTTGTCCTTTGACATCTTGCTACAATATAGTTCATGTCCCCAACCCAAGCCCAACTTTCCACCATAATGTTCCAGTTAACTACTTTAAATATAAATATATGTAACCAATGTCAAGAAGTGATGTGCATGGATTAATCAATTGGTATTTATTGTGCATATCTGATGTGCCCAGGTATTGTTCTAGACACTTTCAGAGATAAAAAAGACATGGATCCTTCCAATAAAGGATTTATCACTTCTCAAAAAATTAGAATAAAATAAAATATACTTAGCCTTAAAAGTATATAACAGTTAACAGACCCTGTCTAAAGCTTTACTTCAGCATCCTACAGGGCCTCAGGATCATGACCAAAAAGTGGAAATATCACTGGCTAATACTATGAAAAATGTGGCTGATGTAGAAAGTGGCAAACTGTACAAGTCAGGCTCCAGCTTGAACTCTTTCCATAACTCTGCATTGCCCTCAGGCAAGGTTCAAATTCATTAGTAGGGTCCTGCATGACTCAGCTCTTGCCTGCCTTTCTAACACAAATGTCTCAGGCCCTCCAAGGGCCAAATAGAGTGACTGATGATCTCCTTTCTCATACTTTAGCATTGCCACAGTGGGATGGTTAATGTTATGTGTCAACTTGCCTAGGCTGTGATTCCCAGTATTGTGTGGTTGTCCTCCATTTTGTAATCTGATGTAATTATCCTCCATTTTATGTATTGTAAATCCTAACCACTATATGTTAATGAGGCAGGATTAGTGTGGAGTGTATCCTGAGCCACCGCCTTACAAGAGGGTATGACTCAAGTCACACGCTTACTCAAGTCATACCCTTATTCTGATGTAGGAGGAGTTTCCTTGGGGATGTAAACCGCATCCAATATAGATATGTATGCTCTGACAAGGGTCTCCCTTGCTGTGTATCCTGCATCCAGCTCATTATCATCTGACCTCTAGTTCTTGGGACTTGAGCCTGTCATCTGTCCTGACAATTTTGGGATTCGCCAGCTTCTTCTGCCCCGTGAGCCAATAGCCTACCATCTGACCTGCCAATTATGGGTTCATCAGCCCTGGCAACCACATGAGTCAGGAGGAGCTTCCACCTGATGCCTGACCATGGATTTGGGACTTGCCAGCTTCCACAACTGCATGAACCATTTCCTTGAGATGAACCTCTTCACTGGTTTTGCTTCACTAGAGAACCCAGCCTAAAGATATGTACTTCTGCCTGAGCCACCCCTTCTCTGCTTCTTTACCACTCTCTCACTCATTCTTCAAGACTGGGTCCAGGTATCACCTCCTTCTGGAAGACCTGCCTGACTCAATTTTTTCCCACTCTCTGTGTTCACTCTGCACTCTGCAACAGATAGCTATTATGCATATGTGTGTGCATAAATATGTGTGTCTATTATGCATATAGGAGTTCCTTGGTAGTGCAAATTCTGCTACTAACTAAAAGGTTGGCAGTTTGAACCCACCCAGAGGCACCTCAGAAGAAAGGCCTGGAGACCTGCTTCTGAAAAGTCACAGCCATTGAAAACCCTATGGAACCCAGCTCTATTCTGCAACAACACATGGGATTGCCATGAGTAGAGTTGACTCCATGGCATCTGTTTTTTTTTTTTTTGTTATTATGCATGTATATGTATACATCTATGTATATAAACATAGTTATAAATATTAATATGCATAACAAACGTGTATTAAACGCTATGTACCAGGGACTTTTTTGAGCTCTCTTTTCACATTTTAACCCCATCCCTAAAACATTCCTGTGAGGGAAGTGCTAGTGACTTACTCAGTCACACAGCCAGGAAGTGACAGAGTCAGAATTTGAACCCAGGCTCCAAAGCCACGCATTTCACAGTGATGTCACACAGCCCTCTCCTCACACTGTATTATAACCACTGATGTCATTCATCGTCACTCCCTCTTGACGGTGAGCTCTTGGAGGGCAGGGGCTGATCTTGTTCAGTAACTGGCACATTATATAAACTCATGAATGAATAAATAAA